TAATTAAAGGAGCTGTTAAGCTTGGAAGGACATAATTCTGAAGGATTGGGCAATTTGGAACCTGTTCTCATTTCTCATGTCCACCTAAAACTCCAGGTTAAAACCAACAAAATTGCTTGTTTTTACTGACACATTCTTGCCAGCTAAAATCTTGTTTTCATGATCACCGAGGTAAAGCCCAGATTTTAAACGCAGACAATTAATGGGTTGGTTTACTTGAGAGTCAGCCAGGGAATTTAAAGACAATTGACTTCAGTCACTATGTACTGCATTTCTGGTTTCTGCTTCTGAAATATTACAGAAGATTCACCTTACAGGCACAGAGTTCAGTTCAGGTTTACATGCTTTGTCTGCCCTGTGTATACGCTTAAGGAGCTACATAGTTTAAAATGCAATCATCCAATTTTATTAGATTAAAGCCGGGATTAAGATTAAAATTGGTGTTATGAACCTTAAGTTTCCCATGTTTTAATAAATCCTTGTTCAGCCTTATATGTTTTAAAATAAGTGGTCGCTTGGAAACTGTTCCAACCAGTCTTGCCATGTTCAGTCTTTTTTTTTCTTTTTTCTGAACCAGAACAACTGGCAGCACGTTATGTTTAAATGCTAAAGCTTCAGCTAAGCTGATTTGAATACAGTTATCACTAAGATCTTGAAGGAAGCCACACGGGTTCCACTTCTGTCAGCACAGAATAGGAAACCGAGGCAACAGTTTACATGGGCTCACCAAAATTGGAAAATGACAGATTACAAATTGGTTGTTTGGCCTGATGGATGTCATTGTGTCATTCAGATGGTAGGGTCAGAATTTGGTATAAACAGCATGAAAGCATGGATCCATCCTGCTTTGTATCAATGGTTCAGGCTGGTGGTGTAATGGTGTGGGGGTATTTTCCTGGTGCACTTTTGGCCCCTTAGTACCAAATGAGCATCTTTTCACCACCATAGTCTACCTGAGTATTGTTGCTGATCATGTCCATCCCTTTATGACCACAGTGTACTCATTTTCTCATGGCTGCTTCTGGTCAGGATAACACGCAGTGTCACAAAGCTCGAATCATCTCAAACAAGTTTCTTAAACATAACGATGAGTTCGATGTACTCAAATGGCCTCCACAGACATCAGATCTCAAGCCAGTGGAGCATCTTAGGGATGTACAACTGACAAATCTGAAACAACTGTGGGAAGCTATCATGTTGATATGATCAGAATGTCTGACGAGTGTTTCCAGGATTTATGCCATGAAGAATTAAAGCAGTTCTGAAGGCAAGCGGGAGTCCTCCCTACATGAGGTGTACCTAATAAAGTGTCCGATGACGGCGTTATTCTGACGAGTGCTTTGAGAATTGTTTTTTGTATTAACCCAAACTACACCCCAACCTTCTCCCTTTTCCCTATCAAAAGAGCACAGCACTTTTTCTTGCATTTTTCGGAAATCCAGAAGATGCCACCAGGATTCCTTTGTTATTAAACCCGCAGGCAATCTTGCATGAGGTCAATTAGCAATTCCGAGCGCCTGTGTTTCGTCTGTGATGATGATAATGATAATCACAGTACCTGACTCTCTCCAGTGAGGGCAAACATCTCTTCAATCAAGGGGTATTGCTGATAGCTCTGAGTAATTTTCTCCTGTTTCTCCACGCTGCACTTCCTGAGCAATATATTGCATTCACATGTTCACACGAGGCTATATTTAAAGCGTGACATCAACACCTATGAAAAGTCATGAACATTTCTGTTCTCATTAAAGCTTGTTAGTCACTGTGGCAAACTTTGCCACCAATTTGTCACACAGAGCTCACTTTGAAAAGTTCTGAATAAATGTATTTGTGTTTTTTAAAAAGCAAACAACACTGGAGTTTGGTTTTTTCCTCCTTTCTCCCCTCATACGTAATGCTGGAGAATACCGGATGCCTGAGGCTTGAGCTGTGCTGATGTGTGAATGAGGTCAGCAAAAAACCATATTCGAGAAGAGTTGGGCTACAGCCTCCTACCTGCCGAGTGCTAATTATAATAAGTCGGTAGGCCGCCTTCAGTCTCTCTTCCTGTCACCCTGTTTGCCGGAGGAAGCAAACCGTCTCCGCCAAGGAGTTTACATATGTACGCGGCCGTCTTCCTCACACTGACTCATGTTCTAATACTGACGAGGAGTTAGTAAGCTTTACTCATGTGGCGGCTTGAATGCATCATGCAATCTGCTAGACAGCACCAGTGTTTGTCGCACATAGTGTCTGCGTCTTATATAAACACACTAGTTCTGAGTGTCTGCTATGTCTGCTGTTGAGACATTTCCGTTATGTGTGTGTGAGTCTGTGTGTGTTTCCAGCTAATGGGTATCCAGATATCATCACAAGCCCCAAAACTGCTTGAGTCTTCCAGATAATTGATGTTGCTGTAAAAAAAAAAAAAAAGCCTCGGGCTGAATTGGGAAGGCTGTGGTCCCCTCCGGGCTTACAGGAGGGGACCACAGAGACCAGTCTGAGTGAAGCTTCTTAGTTTTGAAAGTTTTCTTTGCATTATGAAATACTTTGTTATTTTAATGTAACTGATATAATGTTATAATTACATGCAATTCCTTAGCGACGTGACTGCCCCCCACTGGAAATGTGGTATATTGTGTCAAATGATCTAATATGAAGAGAAATACTGCTGACTGGCAAAAGCCTTGATTGAATTCGATTAGAAAGGCGAAAACCCCAACAGGCAGTCTAATTAGGGATTTGACGAGATTGTCCAGTCAAATTTTATAATGATGCCTGCTTTGAATTAAATTCTGATGCCGCCATAATAACAAAAATGAAAGTACTGTAGAGATGATGTGCACGCTGTATTTGTGACACATTTAAAATATAATGTCGTCTTATGGGATGCTGGAAAAGTACAAAAGGGGTTTTGGGATGTTAACCTGACAAAGAAAGATTCCAAACGTAGCTTATAGGTGAGATAATAATCGCATGGCGAGAAAATTGTCTTGCAAAAGCAGAGAGCGTACCTTTCTGTTGCTGAACGACTAAGGAATGTAGCCTAAGAAAAATTGAAAGAGAAACTCAGGTCGGGGTGTTGGCAAAACAGCTACGCCTGTGTTTGACAAGGTGACGCACAGAAATGAGATAAACGGCCAACACACACAGTATGACCTCCGCTTACAATCAGACAGGTGTGTACACATACACACAGGGAGATACAGACGCAGAGGGTAATTCTGAAACCTCAGAACATGCCAATCCAGTTTTTCAGAAAAGGTTTTCCCTCCACCTTCCATCAAGATACAGTTTCAAGACGGAGAAATATTTAGCTGCAGGACAGGGTTAAACACAAGAGAGGCTCTGTTACCTGGTCAGCACTTTGAAATCCCAGGATTTACCGCAGCACAGTTTCCTTTGGACCGGACCACAACAAAGACAACAGGATAGTGGATTAACTTTAATCCTATCAAGACTTCATATGTAGGACCCTGCTAACCAACACCTGCATTAAGGAAAGGACTCAAAGGGAGCGATACCACATGGCCTTTCTGGGCCGCCTCCTCGGACTGTCCAGTAGCCGCTCCGGCTTCTGCTTGTTACCACAATATCAGGCTGGCAGGGAGTGCGTGCCAGAAATGACAAAATAGGGGTTTTTTTGGTTTCTATGCTGGACAGAAAAAAACTGGGGACTAACTGAGCTGCAGATGTCAACAGAAATGTCTGAAAGAAGCAAAGGAAGATAAAAACCCAGGAGTGGCGCAATGAATCAAAGATGATCAATAATCTGAACGTGGATTCAGGCACCTAAATATCTTCGTTTCTTTTTGGTTATATCACGGAAAAGTGCCGCTGAGGTTATAGCTTGAATATGTTGATGTGCTTCGGGAGTCGCAAGCAAACTCGAGACCGGCACGAGATCCAGTGGAGTGAAAAGGACCGTTTACTCGACGATGAAACCCACATCCTTTCAAACCCCTGCTTCCTAGACACAGGTAAAGGCCGAAATTACAACCTCTGACAGCCTGATATGGGATTCAACTTTGCTGCTGTACTCGCTCACTTCAGATTTTTCTGACGGTGCACGCGCTTGGTTAGAGTTTCCTGTAACAATATCTAAAATGCTTTTGATTGTTTTCATTCTAACACCGCTGAGTCAGTTGATAAAGAGACATAAGGGAGAAAGAAATGTGCCAAGAAACACTTCAAATATCAGGAATATCACACGTACTGTAGATGGCACACAACGGCAATGGCAATTGGAGGACTTTAGGGAGACGTTACGAAAAAACAAAATCAGTTCAAGTCAAATGCTGTTGAGATTTAGCTTTTGGCACAAACTGCAGCAGTTGGGCTGTAACTTTCTGCCTCCCGGTTATTCTGGTTTCCCCACAGTGATGCACTCAAGGAATGGCCACTTGTTGTTGTTGTTGTTATTCTTCTTTTCTCATAAGCAGTGTTGTTCAATTCTGATTATCCATCTGTTTTAGATATATGTTTTTTGTCCAGGCAAATCACACCAGCTTTGAATGGTTATCCAGCCGATAACAGTACATGCCCAGTGAACATTTTCCCTTCCAGTGTGCTTTCTCTTGTTGACCACAAAGGGGCAGTGTTCCAGTCTTAACCACACTGGGTGCTGCAGAGTTGTGGGGGTAAAATCTGCCTTGATTCTTTGTGGTGCATGGCTGTCTAAATGAGCTCTGCCCATTACGCTGCACTAATGCACGAGAAGATTGAATAGGCCACGTAAGGCTGCTCAGTCTTTTTATTCTCTGCATTTAATCGAATGCCAGCATTCTCAGTAGCTCAATGTGCTAATTTTCTCAATGAAGTTAGATGCAGGACTGCCCACGCAGTGAATGTGTAATTATGTTTAGATTCAGAGAATGCCATTTTACATAATGTCCAATGTACTGATTTCTGCCACGGTAACCATTAGTGCTTTAAAAAGAATAAGTTCCTCAACAGAAATAGCTGTCAGCCAATCTTGGAATTAAGCTAAGCTCTCCCACTGAGTGTAGGCTGTATAGTGGGAGCCACTGGAAGGTTGGTGTGTGGTTGTGTGGGTACTCCCATGTTACTCCGTGGCTGTGCTGCATTAGTATTCTCATAGATCCTTGAGCGAGGGAGACATTTTGACTTCTGCGTCCCTGTAAAAGTGTTTAAAACCTAAGCAGCGTATCCCCAAAGCTGATGTGTTTAGGTGAATCAGTCAAGTGTCTAAATAAATACGAGAAAGTTTATAGTTTATTCTTTTCTTCTACCATTGGTCAACCCAAGTAAAATGCCCACTTATGGCTGTTTCTTGTGGCTTGTAGTCTGTATATATCAGTGTGTAATCAGCAGAGTCTTATCTCAATCCTGTGTGTTCACTTTTGTCTGTTTATACCTCGGGGGCTGTTAGCAACTCTGGTGAAATCATGAGGGCGTGTTCAGTGTCCTTGGGATCCATTCCTTGTTTTCCATGTGTCCCGGGGGTTGGAAGGCAGCTGAAAGTTCAAACAGAGACACACTCCCTCATGCTCTACATGGCAAGAGCTCAGAGATTAAGGGGTTTCTCTGCACCGCCAACAACAGGGATTGCTCGCAGTTTGCAACTTGCCAAAGAAGAAGGATGATTCAGTTTTTTTGAGCTGTAACTTTTGTGTCTGTTACAGATATGCCTTTGTTGCAAAATCAGCAGTTAAAGTTTTGTTTTTCTTCTGTGCATCTACTTGCTCGAGACAGGTAGAATAGAGCGGAGCAAAAAGCAGCTACCATCTAAATGCCTGTTTGATTCTGCTAAGGAAAGGAGCCAGAGGATGCAGGTGGCAGCGAGGCTTTGAACTAACTTGTTTGAAGTTGTTTTTTTTCTTTCCTCATGTCAAAGGTGAAAGATTATACCTGGCAGAGGAATTTAGTCTTCAAATGAAGGACTTCATGAGCTGAATCTCAACTCTCTGGCAGAATGTAACACACTGGTTTCAGTGTGTTGATGAGGATGATTGTGTGAATCGGTCTGAATGAAGTGTGATGCTATTCCTTAGCAGTGGGAACGTGGATGTGACCCCAAGGAGTACAGCTATAGAACAGCAGCAGCAGGAGATAACTGTATACCAAGTCTCTGTAATCTTGAAAGAAACACATACAGATGCACCGGTGTCAGAGCTGGAAATGGGCCAGGTCACTCACACCCTGGTTGGGAATTGTCAGCCAAATGGAGAAATGACTTGTATAGTCCAAATGGAGAAAAGCCCGAGGTTGGGCAAGGCACAGCACGAGCTCAGCAGGTGGCTCTCCCTCAGTAGCGCCGGGAGGCATAGAGAGGAGGTAGTGATGGAGGAGGATGAGGAGGAGTTGGAGGAGGTGATTGCGGGAAAAATGAAGACAGACAAGTTTGTTAAACCACCTTCAAAATACACAGGAAACTCCTTACAACAACACAGAGACGTGGTGGAGCTAACAGCTCAACCAGACGCCAAGGAGCAGCTCATTCAGAGCTCAACATTGTGCTCTGCCACCATCCAGGCTAAAGGACTTGTTCATGGGAATCATGACAGTGCACCAGGAAGAAGGTCTCTGCCTTGGGCCCTGCTACGAAGGTCACATAAGGATGAAGCCCTGCTCGGCAGAAGGACGATGAGCATGTATGACGGTCCGGTCAAGGTCCAAAGAGATCGTGAGCCCGAACAAGAACGACGGCTGCTAAGGCCCAGGAGCGTTTGCATGCTTCCAGGCGCAGTCGCAGTTCTGCCAGAGCCCCAAGCCCAGGAATCCTGCAAATGGACAGGAAGTTTAGACAGCCACCAGCACAGGAGCAGGAAGGCTGAGCTAAGAGCAGTGGATGGCCTCAATCCTGTTGTGGCTCAACGGCCATCAGGCCCTGTGGAGGTGAACCTTAGGGTCCGCCAGAGGAGCTGGAAGCCCAGGCCCGTCAGTATGACAGTACTGGAACTAAAAAAGAGGGGCTCTGATGATGAGATAAACAGCGAGAGGAGTGGTAGCCACAGAGGTGGCGAAGGAGAGGGATTTTTCAAAGGAGGCTTACGATGGAAACTGTTTGGCAAAACCTCTCAAGAGAAGAACAAGGAAAAGCAAAATGACAAAGATGCAAAAATTTCCCCCAAAAACAACAAATCTGATACTTCAAGAAGTACACTGAGCTCTTTAAGACGGAGTTTTAGTCTGCGAATCAGGAGGACTCGTCCTAGGGATTTGGGTCCTGGGGTAGAGTCAAAGGAGTACTCTCAGACTAAAAGTACTGCTGAAGAGGCAACGATGCCTCCTCAACCCTTCTCGTACCTCACAGGAAGAAAGATTTCAACTTCCAGTGATCAGACGGAAGATGGAGGCATGCAGTACATTCAGTATCACAGCAGGGGGAAGGTCAAGGTAATGGAGGTACCCCTCCATCCACCAAAACTGACTTCCAAACCAGTTCAGGAAGAACAAAGTATATGGCAGCTCATAGCAAACCGTTTCAGGAGGAAAGACCAGCCAAGCAGTGGCAAAAGTGAAATTCAGCAGTCCCAAGGCAAAGACAGTGGTCAATATCCCCACACTGGGAATAATAAGTCACAGCCTGTCACCATAGAGACTCTGGCAGGCATTGACTCCCACAAAGGTCAAGGTAAGATCTGCAAGACTGCTGATTTATTTCTCAGCTCAGTGCTCCATTTTATATACCCCCTCTTGCTCACTGCACAGAAAGTTACAGCTCAAGAGAAATGAGGAAGTGCACTTTTTTTTAGGACAAGCAAATGAAAAACATGTGGGGGAATTGTGAGTTTGGATGGCATTCAAAAAAAAGTCCAAAGAGTCCTTTTGGAATTTCTATTTCGGGTATTTTATTTCTCCAGTGTTTTTCATGTGTGAACCTCCAGTTCGTGTGCACATGCACAGCAATTACTTTGCCTTCTTTGAGGTTTTTGTAGTTCAGTCAAAAAGTAGGTGAAGTGAAATCACCAGTGACTGAAAAGAACACATGATAACAGTTTGTTTTACAGAGGGGCGGCTGTGGCATAACACAGTCCCCGTGCTATCTCTGTGTTATCCTGACCCAGGCCTGCTTATTGGTCTCTCAGAGACGCAGCTTAAAGAAGTAGCATTAAAGCAGTTAGTGGCTGTAATGGGGATGCATTTGGCAGTCTCGCAATGCTAAATTAAGAGGGCTTACATACTGTAATGATGGGGAGAGGAGCAAACGACTTAAGCGCTGTGTTTAAAGGTTAACTCTGACAGTGAAGTGTGTTTGTCCAGTTGCCTGGAAGAGCAGGCAGGGAGGCAAATATTTGTAACTATCTGAATTAATGGCTGTGATTTGCTGTGATTTGCTGTGTTTTGTGCGTCAAGCTCCAATTTCACACCTTTTCAAAGAGACCTAATTAGTCGTCTGTGACGACCTAATAACTTCTCCCGATGTCAAGTTGCACATGTCATGTATATATTCGCAACTTTTGAACCAGCAAAACATTTCTTTTGTTTAAATTTTCATGTGAATTTGAGACTCATGAAGGGGCTGAGGTCAGACTTGTTAATCGCTTGTCTGTTTGTATTCTCCCATGACACGTTACCAAGGATACCTATTGATTTGTTTTCCAGAGTCAAGTGGTATTTGTCCATTTCTTCCACTGCAGTCAGTCAGTCAAGCTTCAGGAATGTAGGTGTGCCGATCAGCTTGAGTTAAGCTGGGTGTTCAATGCCCTGGGCGGGACTCTGTGCTTGTTGCTACCTGCCTAACTGTTGGTTCTTAAAGTAAATTAAATCCAGAAAAGCCGAAGCCCAACTCTTCTGTGACTGAACGCTTGCATACACTCAGGCTGTACTTGAGTGTGTGTATGACGTTTGGGTGGAGGAAGGGAGTTTAACAGGGGGAAGAGTTTGAGGTGTCCCCACCCCCACCTGTTGAGTAAACAAAGCCATCCTGTTGGATCCAGGAGTGGCCATTGAACTGTGTGCTGAAATGGGGAGTGGGGGGTGGTCTCTGGGGTCCTTTGAGTTGGAGAAGCAGTGTAGGTGGTCAGCGGTGCACATGTGTAGCAGAGGTTGAAATACTGCAGTGGTGCTGCAGATAGAACTCTACAGTAACCTGTACTCTAACCTGTCAATGTAGCTTGCAGACAGGAAAACACTCAGTGATGGGTATTTTTTGGAGTTACCTTTTAGAGAAGAAAATCCCCCCCACGAAGGTGAAATCCAGACTCATTTATCTTAAATCTGACACAAAATATATTCATGAGGATGGAATTCCCTTTGTTTCCCTTTCGCTTTGCCATTTCACATAAGGTGCTTCCTGTATGTGCTTTACCTTTCAGATGGAGTGGGCCTTACTTTAAAACCTGCAGAGTGAAAAATAATTAGAAAAAAGTGCTTTTGTTTTTGGCGTTCATATCAGCAGGTGTAGTTGAGTCCCCAGCAGGTAGCTATGTTCAAGATAAATACACTTTCAGGGGAAGTTGAATAAACAGTGACACTGCGATAATGCCCTCTCAGCTGCAGCAGGACACATGGGGAGACGGCAAGATATTGAAACACCACTGAATCGCCGACAGTCTGGTTAGGAGCAGAGGGAAATCTGTTAATAACTGAATGTAACTTGTATATGAGCAGCTGCCACTGCAAATCTCAGCTCCAGTACATTGTGTTTTTCAGAACTGTGGCTCATTTGAAGCAGGATCCTGCTGTTTCACCAAGAGGTCTACAAACCATTTGCCAAAAAAACTGTAATTTGTGGATCTTCTCTAACTTTGCTTGCAGTTTCATTCATGCATGACTGATTCCTTTGGTTTTTGTTCTTTTTTTATTATTCCTTTTTGTAGCTGCAAAGATAACCTCTGGCACATTCCCTTCTTAATTTGACAAACTGAGTCCGTCGGCCTGGGCATTCCACTGCAAGGCTTCTTGAAAACCCAATTTGCAAATCTCGTGTTAAATGTGAATCGGGATGTCCAATTTATTTTAAGGGGAAGTGATCAATGCCTTTCTGCAGACAACACAAGGCTCTGGGAGCTTTAATTAGGCTAGACCATCCAGGTTGTATTAGATGAGCTCGGGGTAAAGATTTTCACCTTGTTCTCTGGTGACTGTGTTTGTCACTTACCTAATTTGATGGAAATGACTGGCTTGTGTTTGGGAGCTCAGCAGAAGAGAAGTAAGAGCTCTTATGCTTGTTTTTTTTCTGTAAATGTTTTTCTTTTTTTTTTTTTTTGTAGAGCTACAGACAAAAGGAAGATGCTGCAGGACCGTTTTTGTCATGACATGCATGATAAAAGTAGCCAGACAGGGAATGTCAGTTGGTGAATCATCGGAGTAGAAACACTAATTGCTAGCTAAATTCTCACTCTGTAATTCATGACGGAAGGAAAGTATGGTTGGAAAGTTGGTCAGAGTAAGAGTGGAAGTTTAGATCTCAAGGTTGTCCTCTCTCGTTCCCCCAAAAACCACTTCAGATTCACTGCACATTGGCACGCATGCATGCATGTGCATACGCACGGACTTGCTGCTCACATTAGATTTTCTTTTCTCATGGAATAAGTCGGGGCTTCGCTTGTGCTTCGCTACCCTCAGACTGAGTGGTCATTTTTATCTGAGCAGACGTGAGCAGCGAAGTGAAAGACCTGACAAACATGCTGCCAACAGTTTTACCCTCACAGAGACAAAGACACTGGTGTCCTCTGTAGGCATCGCGAGTCCCGGGGCTCCGTTGTTTCCATAGGCATTCTGGGACACAGCGATATGGGGAAGGTCATATTTAAAGAATGACGTAATGCTGACCACATGGATTCAATTAGGGGTTTTTCTTTTAGTGGGGGAACAGTTCGGTTCCACTTTATCTCTTTCGGGATGGCAAATTTCAGGCGTCTTTACCATGATGCTGTTTCTTTGTTGTGTTCTTGATTTAAATATTATTTTAGTGAAAGGCACTCATTTTCTATTGCTTCCTTTTGTTGTTATTATTGTCTGTGAAAGAATAAGTGGTGCTATTTTCCGGTAGTCAATGCGGTGCTCCAGAGATGAAGCGATTGTCAGTGGCCAACAACACAATTTCTGCATTGACCTGCGATGACCCAAAATTTTCCTTCATGGCTACACGTTAGTTGGGTTGAGTTTAAAATACTCCTTGTTTAAAATCTGAAAATCATGTTTTTTGGGGGCTTCATTTATCAAATATTATTCTTTATTCATTCTGCTTTATTTCACTAATAACCAGTTCTTCATTAAAAAGACAATATAGGAACTACTTGCTAATTATATTACTGTACTGATGAACGCATCTATGTACCCATGATGGCAGGCTTGTGCTAATGATACAGTAACAGGATGTAAACATTAGATGAGCTGTGATGAGACAGTAGAAAGAAAATAGTTCCTATATGAAAGTGCCGGACCATTTTAGTTAAAAGGTCATGATACCACGTTTGACAAAAACATATTTGTTGGCACTTTAAGTACAACAAAAAAAAGCTACATTGAGTTCCATTATATTCAAGAGAAAGCAGATATTACTACAGCCAGTATAAATGACTCACAATCTAGTCAGATAAATAGCAATGCAGCCCAGAGGAACATACAAAAAGTTTGATTTTGGGTGAGCTGTTAACAAAGCCTGAAAGACTGGCACCTTAAGATGGGTTCATGTAATTGCTATTTTTGAGTATTACCGCTGGTTGACCTTTCAATAACAAGAAACAGGAACTGTAATAAAATGGGGCGGCAGCCTTATCGGAGATCGCCTCAGAGAGCCGTGACCTGCATTGAGTTTCCTGCACTTAAAAACTGAGGCAGTTTGGATGTCTCCGCTCATGTTCTGACATGTCAAACCCACACTGAGAGGGCTTAACTGGAGGCGTGCTGTTTAAAGACTCCTCTGCTCCAAACAATGGTTGGTGAAAGGCCCCTGTGTTCGGGATGCACTCTCCTCTCCCACAACAAGTGAGACATCCACAGCAGAGTGACGCTCTTTGTAAATGGATTGGAGAAAAAGTCAAGATTTTAACTGATTTTTGTGTTTGTGGGTTTTTTTAATGGACAAGTCAAGGGGAATGTTTGGCTCATGTCTCCCCGTCTATGAGTCATTTATGCTTTTAGCATATTTTGGAGAAAAAAACCCTGAAACATGTCCTATAATGACACTGGGGTCCTTACTGTTTATGCTTTGTGTCTTTTCATATTGGCATCGCCTGCAGCAAAAAGAAAAACCGCCATAGCTGTGTAATGATGGTGTATGAGTAGTTTAATTGTTATGGTTTAGAGATGTGGAGGGGGTTACCTGTGCAAGGCGGCATGTAGGCTCCTGTATTAGAGATGGTATCTTATTTGGGAGGTTCAGATGGCAAGGAAGCCTTGATCCAAAACAGGAAGGTGGTCTTTGTTCTAATAGATGTTATGACACACAGCTGTACTCCATCTCTGTGGGAAATGGGCACAGCTTGTGGAGCTGTCATTTGTGTTTTTAGTTCTGATGGTTCGCATTGTCCTTTATAGTGTTCTGCCCTTTTTCAGAGCTCTATTATCTAGTCAATGTCTCCAAATGTCACTGGTAAACCTACCATGCTGAATCAAGCCTGATAATAACTGCCTTTTAAAACAGATTAGCAAAATCCCTTCCTAAGATTGGGCTGTACATTGAAATGGCTTTCACAGACTGCATTAACTACAGGTCCGTTGCAATTACTTCTTCACACTTGTGTTGTAAACAAATAAACAAATCTAGAGAAAACAGAAGAGTCGGACAGATTGAAAATCGGTGGGGATCGATCCATCCATCCATGCATTTTCTTAACCACTCAGGTTACTTAATCAATCAGGATCTGGGGGCTGGAGCCAGCTGACATTAGTCGCTCTTGGGGCTTCATCTAATATCGCTGTTAGTTTTTGGTTTAAGTTGCTTTAATCAAAGTGCTTCCATCATTGAACTAAGCCTGAAAAACTGGCACCTTAAGATTCCTTATACTCTGAATGCAGGGAACAGTTTTTCCAGGTATCCGTTGTAACCAGCAGATACCTGGTCCAAGGTATTTTGTGATGTTTACAAATGGAGATAAACTTTTTAAAAAGGTAATTTGTTTTCAGATGTTAGCTGATGAATTTAAGATTGCATTTCAGTAAACGGGGTTCCACTTTTGAGGGGACCTGTATGCAGCTAAGGCCTGCTTAGATTTGATTGGTCGATTGAATTTGAACTAGGAGCGGACTATATACTGAAACCAGAAAGCTTCCAGCACTAGAAATCACCAGAAGGTTTGAATTCAGCTCATTTATATGCAGATATGTTTCTGGAGGATTATAAAAAAAATCCTAGTTTATGCAAATTATTATCACAGAAATATGAGATGCACTAATTGTAATTTTCTTGGCTGATTTTTATTTCATATTTATTTATTTTTCAAAGTGAGGTGCTACTGATTTATTCATTTAGTTATTTATTTAATTTTATTTTTGCTTATTCCAGTTTTCTAAGCTCTATAAGGGACAGCTTATACAAAAAATCAACTTTTTTTTTCAATGCGGGATATTTTTACACTAAAATAAATTATTAAGTTTCTTAATTTCTCACAAATTGGACATGATAGACTCTCACTGAAAGAACTGAGAATAAAGCTACAGATAATTAGCTAAAATGGGTTTCTATACATTCGCCTTTACTTGACGTATTTTACCCTACTAAACAAAAGCAGGTTTATCAGATTTATATATCAACACAAATGCAAGTTACATAAATAATATAATAATATTGTTTATAACTTCATCAGATAGCAGCACGTGGACCCTTTGCTGTTTTTTTACTTCGCTAAACAATTTTTTTTCAGTTCCTGCTTTGAGCCTTTGCTCATACCGAGTCTGTAGATACTGAGCTCTGGATAGCTTTAGCTTTAGCCACTCTTCCTTTATTAGCCTCTTTAAAATGTCCATGTTCAGCTGGGTGAGGGTGATTTAAGTGTCTCATTAGGTTTAAACATTTCATGGCGGTTCCTCCATGGTTTACTTTGGCCAACTTTGTGTCTTCCTCAGAGCTCAGTAATGGCTGTGAGCAGCTATTAGCCTGTGCTGCTGTGCACATGTTGCACATGCATAATCAGACATATGTGAGGCTGTCCTATTGGTCAACAGTCAAGAACACAGAATGACTGTATCTTTTTCTTTTTACTTTTTTTTCAAAATTCTATTTAAAAAAAAAAAAAAAATTTTTTACCTGTCTTGTCCAACAGCCTTTAATATCAGAATTATGATCTGGATGCACTGTTTGCCAAACAGATTTGGTTTGCCTAAACTCTATAAATAATGTTTTAATAATTCATATATTTTTATTATTATTCACATAGGATATGTGTAATTTAGCAATGCCAAAGCTGACAAGCAGAGAGGGGTTGAAGTGGTAAAGAGAAGAAGGGGGGGAAATTAAAGAAAGATAAAAGAACAATGGGGGAAAATAGGAGAAAAGGTCAAAATAAAAGGACATGACAGGCCAAATGGCTATATATTCATAACTACACAACTTTTTCACTAAAGTTGGCTCTATCTATCTGCCATAAAACTTTGATTCAGTGGTTCTGGTTAATATGTGTGCAGGAAATCATTTTTTAAAAAAGGGCAACAACCCCACAATTCCTTTAAAAATGTTTTACTGTAATTGACTGCTGTGTAAGTCGAAATGCTTGATGTGACTGGTGGAGCATTCAGCATAAAACTTATTGCAGACTCTTCAAATTCAGCCACTAGCAAAAGCTGTCGGTGCCATATTATAGCTGGGGGTCAAATAGAACAGAACGCATATTATCGCTTAGTACTTTTTGCTTTTGTCATTTACGTCTTCATTTGTCTTTTTCTTTTTAGACTCTTTTGTCAACAGCCAGGAATGGACATTGAGTCGATCAGTGCCGGAGCTGAAAGTGGTGAGTAACTTTTTTTTTGTTGTTTTTGACGATCCTGGTGTTAATTTGCCCTCAGAGGTTTCATCTTACTAACAGATTTAAATGTCAGTGGGAAAGCATGTTCTCTCCATGTAATACTAGTTTTGCATTTCACATGAGAGGGAACATTTGAGAAATTGGCTGGACTTTTCCCCTGGCACATAGTGGGTGATTTTTAATGAGATGCGTTGGCATGGCGATACAGGGTGGTTTTGCAGCAGGACACAGGATGAGTGACAGTTTTGGGCTAGGCCGGTGACACATCCTGGGTCTGCTCCCACCCGCCAGTGAAGCACACGCACAGCCTCTGCCAAATGCACTACTAACATCCTCACATGATTTAATGCCTTCCCCACATAAAGACTAGCAGCCTTGAAAGGCTCCGCTCTGCCGTTCTCCCAGTGGATATAATATTTTCAGTGTTAGGTGAATTCATTGTTGTGGCACCTTGAAGAAGGGGAAACTTCAATGGGGGGATTCACAGCGAGCACAAAGACAAACTTCCTTTATTGGCTTCAAACACTTTTAAATGCGTCTGTTGCTTTTTATGTTTCTAAGGTGTTAATTGGCAGCTTCCATGCGGGGGTTTGTTAAATGGACCCGGTAAGACTAAATTAAGTGTCGCAAAAATAGTAATCATTCTTTTCAAAACTTTCACAGAGTTACCGTGCAGCGACAAGGTCGTGCTGAAAGGAAGTTGGTTACAACTCTCAGAAGCTTTTAAAAACGATAGGGGGGGGGAAAAAAAGCAGGTTTTGCTTTCTTCCTCTTTGATACCACAATAATGGGGGTCAAAACAATTCCTGTAGATGAATTAAAACGATTAAAACCATGTGAGAAAACCTCTAATTTTTTTTCTGCCGCAACAGTGGGCTGTACTCTGGTACTGTTGATTTCGTGCTGGTGACTTGACTGTGGTTAAATCCTGTTTTATTGCCATCTTTTGATCATCTCACATCAGAGCTAAACGTCTACAAAGAAGAGTGAAGGTTCTGTAGTAGCATAATGCTGATACAGCATTTCGAGATCATGAATCCTATATACCCGTGGGCCACAAAGCCCAGCAGTTAAACAGCAGGAGAACGCTGGTTTTGTGGCACATTCAAAGCCTTTTTTTTGACTCATAGCTTTTACAGCACCACAACTTTTTGCTAACTTTGAATTTATTCATAGCTTATTCTGCTGGGTACCTCATGATATACATACTTCAGTTATAAAGAAGCTAGGCTAGGAAAAGACCTTGAACACACCTTTTCTCTTGTGCCTCAAACGTCCCTATAATTAGAACCATACCTGCTTTAACACCCACTAATGATCTGTGGAAGGAGAGGGCGATGGTGGGTAGAGGAGGAGCTGGAGAGGGAGGAGATGAGGCATGTTGCAGTCTTTGTTCTTCCCAGACATGCTGGCATCGTCAGCCCACCCTCAGCCATGCATCACCCCGAAGGCACTGCAGTTTGGTCTGGTCTAGACGGCAGGGAGAGGTAGAACAGGACATACAACCAAAGTCGGGTGTAAATCAGAGGCACTTGGACAATATTTCAAACTTGCATGGCCTACGAAAGGGACCTTTACCCCCTTGAACACAAACCATATGGAGTTTCTTTTACTGCCTACTACCTTCTAAAGTTTTTAATTTGATTTTCTTCCCCCTAGCCAACACTTGTTTTCACTTCAGGCCAGTGTGTAATAAAAATCTACTTAGCAGAGAAGCTAAAAAATGGAGTCACCTTTAGGTTTAGTGTGAAAGTTTCATTACTTTTTCAAATAATTACACCTTGACCCATTTTAAGAGTAAAAAAAATAATAATAGAAATATCACACCCACAAAACTACATTTTTCATTTTTTGAATAAGAAACTTGCATACTGGTGAAAAAAAATGAGTTAGTCTTTTCAAAAATGCCTTAAATGCAGCACTTCTTCTTTTTTACTTATCTTCTTAAATACACACACATTGAAATATATGCGCAACACAAATGCCCAGAACGTCAGTCTTTGATTTTTCAGTTGAGTTCTGATGGTACGTCTCTGTAGAAAGAATAATCTCTAAAACTTTAGTGACTCATACAGCTAGGATTTAAGACTTAGCAGCCTAACTAAAGATTAGGAATGAAATAAGATGTGGAGATGGTTGTATTTCTGATATTATTGACCTTGATGCAGTGTTTTGCTTTTTGCTACACACAATTTGCACACACTGGGCTGAAAACTTGCAAAGCCTTAATGATTGAGGTTGAAGCTTCAGTTTTTTGGAAAGAAAATATAAAAAAATAAAACTCAAAACAGCACGACTTATGTAATTTCAGTGCCTTTGTGGTAGGATCTTTTTCTCTGTCAGGTCACTTGAACCTGTACATCATCTCATAG